AGTCTTCAATTCTAGATTGACCTTAATCTTAAGGTATTCTACCTTCTGGATACGAGAGACAGAGTTTACAAAAGTACTATTATAATACCTCCATATTATTCTTGACTTGTAACCTTCCTGTCTTTTGGGCCGAAGTTCAATCGATAAAGTATGGCACTAAGTTAGACTATAGAATATTGAATGACGTGTTGTGCACGGATTTTAGCAGTATCCTCTATTTATACTATTTTTCTCCTCCAATAGAGATTAAGGATTAAGATCATCTGACAATAATCTAATTCTTACTAAAACTGTAGTCCATCGAATGACTAACAACTTTTGAAGGAAGTAAACTTGTGAGAAAGGAAGTAAACTTCCTTTATTATCTCTTTTTCCTTTTAATTGCTGTGGCTAAAATTCCTTTGAATTTGTAAAATGTAATATGATTTCTTTTTACAATTAGTATAATAATAAAATCCCTTTAAAATCTCACACTAGTATAGGTAATAGTAATAGGTACAAAATTATTCATTTACGAAGATAGGACAAATTGAAATGAAATGAGAGTGAACAATAAATAGTTAACATATTTACAAAGTACAGTTACAGGCAGTAGCTCGCTTTCTTACAGTAAAGTAGGTTTACCAAGTGGTGGTTGACAACGTGATGTGGTGAAAGGTATAAAATACAGTACAATTTTACGAAATATTGGACTCTATGGCCCAATTTACACAACAGGTAAGTTTAGGTGGCAGAGGATTATTGTCAGGAACTGCAGATAGCGCTTGATATTGAAACATGTAACATTGTTTTGTCTTGCAGTGGTTGACACAAGTCTCAGTTACTGGTGGCAAGAGGGACGATAACATCGTGCTTTTTAACGAAGTTATAAAACACTGTTTACATGTCTTTGTTTCTTAACCACTTGACGTACGAATGTTTTTTAGGACTTTTTAATTAAACATAAAAAATACTTAAAACTGATACAAAATCGAAAGAAATGCGTTAATTTTGAAGAAAAAGCTTCATAGTTTAACTTCTTTTGTCACGCCTTTCTGTAAAATTTGACACTGATGAGTCATTTTTTACACAGCTGGATGACCTTGAGAGCATCTAATGTCGGATTTCCCGGGGCATTCTCATAGAAGTCTCGGGAAGACAAAAATTTAAAGTAGGGTGAATACCAGCTGGCCGTATATTTTTAAATATTTTTAAAAAATTAAAAGTTTTATTTCGATTTCCGACCCCCCTAATTAATTAAATTTATATAAAATAAAATATATTAATTAAAAAAATTTAAAAACTTATGGAGGTCGTTTTTGACATTAGACCATTTGACATCATATCTTTAAATAACTGTACCGAAGTCAAATCTGTACACTACAACTTTAGAACCATGAATTAAATTTGATAAAAAAATCCCATTAAAAAACAATTAAGCCTTATTAAAGGCTAATTAAAATCGCAATAAAATTTTTTCGCATGGGCAAAAAATTTTGAAAAAATTTGGGGACTTAAAAAACATTCCAATAATTCAAAAAAAAAAATTTCAAAACCCCTTAAGGACTGCATTTTATGTAACGCTATGTAACTTGCCCAAGATATCTCGGGTTATGGGCTTAAGGAAAATTCCATAACCCGTGGTTGAAGAATTAATAAAATTTTGTATACTTTTAACATAATTATTAACTAAATTTTATTAATTCTTCTCCCATTTTTGAAAATTCCAGAATTTATTTTAAATGTAAAATCGCCATCTTCCTCCACGACCCTTTCACTTCTTAAAATTTGCATAATTGTGTTAAACTAGTATAAAGTAGTGCAGCATTTGATTGCTAATAACTCTGATCAACACTTTTAGTGAATGCTACAAATTTAAAATAGAGTTTGTATACTTTTAATGTAGTTATTAACTAAATTTTATTAAAATTTATTAGAAGACACTCCGACAGTTCCCTTGTTAGTCAAACACAGCTCCCTATGAGTGGCGAATGGATGGAATCAGAGATGGTTGCAGTGCATGCATAAATGTGGACTGTCAAACCCCAAGGTTGCAGTGCAATGCATAAATGTGGACTGCCAAACCTCAATGCCGATACTGGTCAATGTCAAATCCCTTGTATCGCATCACTAGTGTATCTCAAAGGACGCAACAGGGTTGTTGTAAATTTTAAACATTTCTCACCGTAGCTGTAAAAATCTACATATGTTAAACTTAATAGTCATTTGTTTTCTAACTAATTCGTATTAGGATCAGGTGTCCACAGAAATTTCCAAAATATACTTTTTGGTCACTCTCATTGAACTGGAAAAATTTGTCTTTATTCCATCTAATATTGTGAAGAAATCAGTCTCCACTGTACTCGACTAGAGATTGGTTCGGCTAAGCTTTTGTTTAAGTAAAATTCCAGCTTTTTCAGCAGGTATTACTTATGTCCCTAATTCCCTAATCGCTTAATTATTTAACTACATCTTAAGTAGAAGTAAGTCGAAACCAGTTACTTTGTACTCGAATATTTGTAGTCTCAGGAAAAAGTGGAAAGACAAATTTTTATGACAAATGGATACATAAATCATAAATTTAAGGAAAATAAATTCTAGAGCTTTTTCTGTACCTCATGCATCTCTCTCATTCATTAAATTTAGTTGTAAATGATGCTGTTAAAGTAACAGTTAATTTTTTAACATTGTACAAGAATTGTTCACGTTTCTTTCTACATCCCCTTAAAGATGGGATATACGAAATCGTAATATCACTGGTTTAACATTGAAATCTGTGAGTAATATAAAATCAGAGAGCGGAATAAAAATATCAAATATTTTAATGGATTTTTTAAACTCCTGTCAACTATACAGAACTATCATAAAAACATACCAGTAAATTCTTATCGGTTGGGTTAAGTTATAAATCTGCTCGTAATCGGGCAAGGGTGGCCAAATATTTAGCAGGCAGGCGGTTAACAGCCCAGAACTAGTCCTGGATAGAATCATTGGAAGCATTATACATGTGTAGCTTCTACCAGCTAAACCGGGTGATGTTGGTGCTCTGTAAAGTGCATGCGCAAATGAGTATAATCTGGCTGTTTGGAAGCTGACAATACAGCGCTTCTATTCTGCTTCTAGTATTCAAATATACAATAGCAATCTTATCTTTTTTTTCACATGTAGTATAGAAATTTGTAAGATACATAAGATACATAATGCGGTTATAATAAAATATTAATTTTAATTGTATGAAAATAATCACACAATATGTATTTATTTTTTAGAAAATACAAGGGAAGCAGCACTTCCACCACTTTCAATGACGGCATGCCACTGCAATACAATAATAATATATACAATGCAATACATGTGTATCTTCAAGATACATACTGTAATGCAATTAATGTGATTTTTATATTTTTACAGTTATATATGCTTGACAATGATTATATCTTTGATTTCTACACTTTACTATCTAACAGTATAATATATATAGCTTGTTTTTTGTTGATCCTATTGTTAATTTTAATTTAATTGAAATAAATTTTTAGGGAAGTAAAGTTGGAGAATTATGGCGTGCAGCTGGTCTGCAATGGACAGATTTTCTTGGTCCCAATGAAGATGTCAAAAAATTTATTCAAGATAATGTTAGTATATTTTTTTGTGTAATTTTTAAATTAATTAAAACATGCTGATATTTTTAATATTTATTGGGTTGTTTGGAAAGTAATTTTGTTTTTTTTTTCCATGGAAAAAAAAAACAATATTTTAATAATAAATAAATATTTTATTGAATTATATATCAACCATTTTGGTCAAAACCATCGTTTCTGGTAGTAGCATGATTTCACATTCATAAAAGTTTTGATCGTTGCTTACAAAAAACTGATTTAAGTGATTTTTGACATTGTCATTTGAAGTAAATGTCTTGCAGTTAAAAAAAATTTGTATAGACAGGAACAAGTAATAATCTGAGTGTGCTCGATCTGGCGAATATGGTTGGTGTGATAGCAAGTCCCATTTAAGTTATAACGGTTTCTGACGAGTTACCAAACTTGTGTGAAATTTGACATTATCGTGGTAAAATACTACACCTGTTTTGTTGATCAATTTTGGCCACCTTTTCTGTTTGATGATATTACTCAATTTGTTTATTCGATGGCAGTACACTTTCGAATCAATTGTTAAATTGTCTGGTAAAAGCTCAAAAAAAATTTCCTTAAAATCCCACCAAAGAGAGCATCTCTCTTTAAGAACATATGGAACCAATATATTGAGCATTGAAATGAAACCAATTTGTTTCAGGTAATCATAAACAGTTCAATTTGACAAATTTAATCTCTTATTGATTTCATGTGTTGTTATTCGGCAGTTTGCTTCAATCAGTATCTTTATTTTGTTTTCATTGGCTTCAACTGGCCATCCAGAACGTGGTGCATCTTAAATATTTAAATTGCTAGAATGAAATTTTGTAAACCAGTTTTGGCTCGTAATTTTTTCGTCCGATGGTTCTTTTTATTTTTTAATAATATTTGAAGACAAGTTTGCCCATATAGGGATCACCATTTTTTGCGTAAGACAATACATTTCCGGCAACCGACCTTCCTTTCTAGGCTACTAGCCGCCAAAAAGTTTAAAAAAGTCCTTTTAAAAACACAGAGTTTTTCTAAAATCAGAATTGGTGTTATATGAACGTCTTTCTTGTTACCATCTGTACTTTCTCGAGGGTGTTTCGGCCTTTTATCCACAGAGAAGAGAGTGCTGGAAAATGTAGATTAAAAAGGTTTTGACTCTGTCGTTTTGTCAGTACATCTTCTCCATTCACATCACACAATATTTTTCTCGCTTGAGCAGTATTCTTACCTTTTCGGTAATAAAAGAACAAAATATGCCAAAGATGATGCTTTCATTCTTCCATATTTGATGGGACACAAAAAATAAACAATTGCATGAAATCAAACAAATTTTTTTACAAATAAGCCTTAAAAGGCTAGCTATCAAAATATATAATGATAATATGGTTTAGAATGAAAATGGCGGGAAAAATACGACTAATCCGTCTAGTGGTAAAAAACAAATGAAATTCCTTTTCAAACAACCCAATATACTAAAAGTAATATAATTCAAACAATCTTCTGGAGTAATTGTATAGACTATAAAACATTTTTTCATTTTTCTAAAAAGCAGATATTTGAAATAGATTACAGCCAAAGCATAGTTTGTAAGTTGCACATATGACTATTGGGTATCTGCAAGATATCCACTTAATAAAAAATTTAAAATAAAAAGCATAGAAACCATTACTGTACTCTTGTAAAGATGATATATATGATGTTAGAATGATTAGAATTATTAGATCATGTCATATTAACATTCATAGAATAAATAAGTTTAATCTGACTGAGCAAAAAAAATCTTTGATATCATCATAACATTATTAACATTGTAGTACTGTAACACTGCAATATTAATGATGATATAATATAATATGTTGTATTATTACATTAAACTACATGAATTTTTTCCCTCATTTATTTTACTTTGTTTTAATGCATATACATATACAGTTTCTTTGCAGAACATTGTGCTTGATAGTAGCTGTTTAATAGCAATTTGAATTGCTAACAAATTGAAATCAATTTTTTTTAATCTAGCAGAGTTGCATAACATTCCTGGCTAAACTATAAAATTGTGCGTGAAGTCATCTGTTATGTGATTTAACATTTTTTTTATATTATTAATTATTATAAAATGGCAAAAAGCTTAATTTTGAGGGTAGATGTTTTATAAAAGATTTCAAATGGTAATAAGAAGTAAAATATTTAAGTCCGACCTTAATCAAGATATCACATGACTCCCCTCTCTCTCTCACTCTCTTGATCTTTAATCACCAAAATTTAATAGCATCACTCCCCTCATACATAAACCTCCCTGTAGAATTTCAGAAATTTTTTACAAAAAAACTAATTTATGTATGAATAATGATAGAAATAGAAGTAACAATAATCTTCCAGTGTTCTGCAAAATTTTCCAACCATTTTAAACTGTCTTATGGATAGAACAATGATGTTCTTGTATTCATAACGTCTTCTTCTTTTTACACCATCACCAACTGTGGTCTCTCCTTACTCGTCTCTCTCTCTCTCTCCCATTCTCCCCCATCTCACCCATAACCCCTTGTTTATTTTCTAACAGCTTAGGAATGTTACTCATCTAACCCCCACATTTATTAAGCTTGAAAGTGTGTGAACAAAATCATGTTTTCCACACACACTAGCATTCATACATAGAGAAAAATCCCCTAATTTTTTTTGCAATTTTCAACATTTCAAATTTCCTGAGTCCAAAAATGAAAAATTTTGAGCGTGTCATTTTTTGTCTGATTGCCATACTTTCTATATTTTATATATAACAGCTAAGAAAGTAAAAAGTAATTTAATGTCAGTTTATCTTGTAGTTCAAATTACTATAAAATGATTTTAAAAACTTGGAAGTTTTAAATAATTTTATAGTAATTTGAACTACAAGATATTTAAGTATTATATAAACTTGGAAGTTTATATAATACTTAATTCTTTAATACACAGTATTACTTTACAAAATTATTATTTTTTCGGTTTTATCACTGAATTTATTAATACAATGGGTGATTGGTTAACGAACGTAAACTGTTCCAAGACTTTATTTGCTATTGGAATTGTTCGTTAACCAATTATTGATTTACCATAGGTTTTTACAGGTATTTAATTAATTCGTTCTGGAGATCCTGCAAAAAATAAAAAATATATACTTTCTTACTATGTTTATTTATGTAATAATAAAAATACATATATTCACAGTCTTGCATTTTTATTTGTCATGTTTGTTCCATTTGTGGGGGTTAAAGAATCTGTACAATGGGTGATTGGTAAACGAACGTAAACTGTAACGAACATAATCCGTTCCAAGACTTTGTTCGTTATCCGAATTGTNGGTTAACGAACGTAAACTGTTCCAAGACTTTATTTGCTATTGGAATTGTTCGTTAACCAATTATTGATTTACCATAGGTTTTTACAGGTATTTAATTAATTCGTTCTGGAGATCCTGCAAAAAATAAAAAATATATACTTTCTTACTATGTTTATTTATGTAATAATAAAAATACATATATTCACAGTCTTGCATTTTTATTTGTCATGTTTGTTCCATTTGTGGGGGTTAAAGAATCTGTCTAATGTTGATTGCTTTTCTCTCTTCTTTAGGATTTTTCAGAAGTAATTAATAGCATTGTAATTGTAGAGATCCCTATGCCTATTAACCTCAACCTGGTTTGGATGCCATTCTAAGACCGTTGTTCTGACATCTTCCCATTTCTTCAAAAGATCGTTAATAGCAGATATTGGCATTAATCCTGTTTTTCAGAAGAAAACATATCTTGCCAAGTTTCTTGGTGTTCTTCATTCAAGAGTTCTTGGCGTTCTTCTGTTGTCAGATCAGTTTCAGTTCCATTATGAGCTTTTCAATGTTCTTTATTTCTCAGATGTGATTTTTGTTACTCTTCACTGCTTGAGTCTTCTTGATTATACTGTATCTTTCTTAGATAAGATTGAATTGCGGTCTACTGTAGACCTGTTCAAGCCATACTGCCCAGTAACAACAGACATCAGACATCTGCTGACACTCTCTACTTTTGTTATTATACTCTCACCTTTCAAAAATAAAAATTGACGCAAAACTTAATGAGTGCCCACCCGACAGTCTCGCAAATACTATAAAAGAATTGTTTCTGTCAGAAAAATAAAAGGCTCGAATTACAAGGGAGAGTTTCAAACTTGTAGAATATATGTAGAATGGTGTAGAAGGAATACTATTCGTATATATGTAGAAACGATATATATGTACCCTATATATACCCTATATAGCCCTATATATGTAGAAACGATGTAGAAGGAATACTATCCAATCAGTATATACCGGGTTGTGCATCGATGTCAACGTCTCCTGCACTCCAAAAAGTTTCGAATTGTTGTCTGAAAACAAGGGAAGATCAATTGGTATTCATTATTTTATGTTGCTTCTTCTTGTGTTTGTTCTGTGAGGTGTTCGTTGTCCAAACATAACATCTTTCGCAAAAGATTTTTATTTGATTTGTTCATTAACCGATCACCCACTTTTATATTTTGTTTTCAGGAAATTAAAGTTTCATATTGTGTGTATTATATCTATGAAAATAAATTTTTTATTGCTAGAAAAAATATATTTTAATCTTATATGAAATTTTAGATATTAATAAAAACTTAAAGATGTTTTTATTATTAATATTTCAGTGTTACATTTCTAATATTTTACTGTTGTTTGTTTTATCTAACAATAATTTTACTTTTGTAGTGGTTTTGTAATTTTATTTAATATAGTTAAATTAATGCTGGCAATGAAACCAGGTTTTGGAAAACTGGTTCACAGGTTTGAAACAGCCATTGAAATTGATAAAATTATCATTACAGTATCATTTTTTAATTTTAGTTGGCAGTAAAGTATGCTTAGATTTAAGATGATTCTACATAACTGATGTTACTATCAAAAAATTTCAGTGTAACATTATATTAATATTTGTACATGGCCCTAATTAAGCATGCTTGACTTTTTAAAAATTAACTTGAATTTATTTTAAAATGATAGTTTTCAAATGCTGTTTGTTAAATATTAATACTTAGACCCCAGCATTTACCAACATTGAAGAAACACTAACCTCTTTACTGAAGGGAATAATATATGTATCTTATCTAATATTTACTATAGTACTTTATTAATAACAATAAAATACAATAATAAAACATCAATGCTGCTAAATTGAAAGTGATTTGGAAATTGGCTTTGTTGAAAACCAATTAACTGGTTTTGAGAATTTCTGGTTTTGCCTGCAATACTGTAGTTTATGTATATTAGTATTAAAAACAAAAAATTTTTAGAAATTTTGAAGGCAAAAGGATTGCAAAAATTCTTTTATTTTCAGAAAAAATTATTTCAGAAATTAATGGAACTTGTAAGAATAGTGAAATATTTCACTATTTATACTTAATATTTAAAAGTAATAAATTTTTAATATCTTAGTACAGTAGAGCGTCGTTTCTCCGAAAGCTGATCAACTGAAAACGTTCCATTCGGACTGTGTCATGCTGAATCAAACGTTTTAGATACTAGGTTAACTTCCAAAATATAATTTTTTTGTTTTTATATTTTTCAATATATTTATTTTGTTTGTACAAAATAAAGAAATAGTTTCTAACGATACAATAGCCACGATTATTATTTTAAAAAATTTACATTAGGCTTAACATCAACGAAAATTCAACGTAATGCGACACACAACAGAGAAAAATTTCAACATGGGATAGATTAATATATTTTTTGTACATAATTGGTTATCCGAATAACCCCAGTCCCCAATTGATTCAGATAAACAATGCTCTACTGTATTAAGTGGATTGCATAGTAAGTAAAAAAACATCTCCTCTCTTCAGTTATCAAAATAATACAGTAAATTTATAAACTTAATTTATATTATGGCATGTTTACATTGTTTAAAAGTGTTCACTCAAATCAGTGACTAACATCAGTTTTATGTTTAATCTGCACTTCTGTTTAATCTACAAGAATTGGCAATTTAAATATTTAAAAGAAAGTAAATAATTTTTAAAAATTATCAACAAAAATAATATATTTAGATAAAAATAAACTTATATTTTAATAAAAAATTAAAAATTTTAACTTTGCAAAATCTAAAATAAGAAAAATATTTTAAAAGATTTTCAATAATAATCTTATTTTTTATATTTTCATTAAAAGCTAATTTTATATTAAGCAGATTATTTTTAAATGTTTTTAAACAAATACTTTATTAACCTAATATTACTGAATATTTTTATTTTCAGAAATTAGAATTTACAGTACAGACAGAACCCGAACCTACATCTGTTCTTTCAATTAGTGAAATTAAAGGAGAATTAGATTTTTTACTTCAGAAAAAATGTGTAAACAATGAGCAGATATTTGATTGGATTGAAGTTAGTTTTTATTGTTTGTTGTAATTTTGTTTTTTTTTTTTTTTTTTACTTATTTAAATTAACATATTACAGCTGTACCCTAATATCCAAATTCCTACTACAATGAATGATATTCTTTACTATCCATTACAATATCTGAATTAAAGAATCCCAGTATTACAAATTTATTTGAAACACATTTGTGAAAACATTCAAAGTTGTGCTGGTAAAAGTGGGAAATATGGACAATGCCATTACTCCTGTTTGTTTTCATTTGTTTCAGTAGCATTGTAATGTATTTTAAGTCAGTTAGGCATTTTTCCAGTACAAAATTTCAGTACATTCTTAATAGTACAGTAGGTTCACTACCTATTTCATTATGTTCATCATTCTACTTTTATATAGTAATACTTTAATATAAAATACACAGCATTATTACAACATTTTTATTGTAATTTACTACATATTAATTCCATATAAAGGGTACTATATAAACTTATTTGTTGTGTTATTTTTTACAAAGATAGCTTTTAATGATCTCAGTAAGTACTTATTAATAAAGTAATTTGTTTCTAGTAAGGGTTGTTAGATAAGTAGATGTTTTATAGTGTTTCAGTGTCATTTAGAGAAATTGGTTGGGTTATTCAGATTTGCTGGCTGGTAATGAATTTCTAATTTACCATGATAAAAGATGAAAAATCTTATATTTGAATTTCTGATATTCAACTTATTCATGAACACATTAGATTTACATAATTGGGGTATAGGGGGTATAGCTGTAATTTTTAATTATATGAGTTCTTAATATTTTAATTTTATATAAAAAATTATTTGTATTTTATGTAAATGTATATTTAAAATATTATTAAACAAATATTGTAGAAATTTTAAAAATAATGTCTTACAAATTAAATTTGTACATTCTTAAGCAGTATGTCAGGACAGGATTGATTTACAGTAGCTACTGATTTTATTTTTAAAAATTTAAATATTTAAGTGTATATTATTAAATAATGTTTTTGGTATATCATATATATATCTTTTATTCTTATTTAAGTTTGAATATTGTTAAAAGATTTATTTATACAATCTATGAATATAAGATTCAAGTTTATTGTGTTGATCTATAAATTCTATTTTGAACATTCTATGCATATATGGAAAGAATTGGTAATAAAATAGAAAGTTTTTTTTTTGATTTCATCTTTGTAAAGTTTTAAAGTTATTTTCTTGAAAAGTTGATATTTTATGTACTCACACATTATAAAAATTTGATAATTACAGTTTATTATTTCTTATATTATTAATATAAGCAGCAATAAACTGTAATTTAAATAAAAATACTAATATATAATTATTTACTTTACTTCTTAGAACTATTTAATTTACACATTATTTCTAAATTATTAAAGCCATTTTTGTATCTAGATTAATATATGATAGAATTCTAAAGACTAATTTTATATATTGAAAAAGAAATTTTGTTTATTAATTATTTAATAATTTGTAGTAATTTGAAAATTGCAAAGTAAAAATATTTTGTAACTTTATTTACTTTATTTTTTAATTCAAGGCGAATGTAGGAGGAAAAAGGATGAAAGAACCTCAGTTTGTTCGAGCATTAGTAACATCAGTAATGGAAAATGCTATTGATGGTAAGTTTTATTAAGTATAAATAATAATTATAAATTTATTAAAATTTTGATAATGATATTTTAATTTTTTTATGTTAAATTACTGTAAAGATATTCCATAAACAAAATGCTTAGTTGAATAAATTTGTCATTTTTAATAAATATACCATAAAAATGAAATATTCTGTAGTAAAATGAAGAAGTGAAGCATCCTTTGCACTCATTTTCTTAAACAATAGAAGTATAAAGCTACCCTAATGATTTTACTGTTGAAATTAATCTAGTTTGTTTTTAGCAAGTGGCTGTTATGAAAGTATAATTTAAGGATTAAAAAAATGAAAGATGATAAGTTCTATGTTTTACTGTAAAAAACTAACATAGAAAACATGATTCATGTCTAAGATTGAGAATTACTGCTGAAAATGTGACCAGTAAAATTTTAGAATTTTCCAATCCAAATTACACTTTATTTGTAATACGGCAATTGCCTGTTACGATGGGAGATACATTTACTTATATATTGTAACATAGTACATATTACATAATATTATTACAATAATATTTTCCTTCTAATTGTTTACAAAAGTTTTAATGTAATTATATAGATTAACTATAAACCGAGTTGTTGCTCTATGGAATACTTGGTACATTTCATCCACCGATCTGCACTCACTTAAACTTAACAAATCAAATTTCGTTTTTAAATCATAACTCTTTTTACATTGGCAAAACAAATGATACTTTGAAAATTCCGTATTGCATCTAGGACATAAATTATCAGCATATAAGTAGAACTTGTTATTTAACATTATTATTTCTGTATTAAGATGTATTTGAATGAAAAACCATTTTATTACAAAAGGTAAATTTGATAGAATATAATTGTTAATATTTGGATAGTTCAATAATGAACTATACCAGTTTGGTATTAAGTGTGAACAATTATCCTCCACGTCACGTGTTAATAGGATATCTAAAATACTATACATTAGTTGACTACACAAATCTTCACTTAGATCTGGCGAGAAGATAAATGAAACGATTTAGAAACCAAAACTATTAATCACTTTTGAAATTTGGGCTATCCAATTCCTTTTAGAATTCTTCTGTACAGATGTCTTATATAACTGTTCTAGCAGATTGAATGGAATATCTCCACTATCTCTTATCTTCATCAACAAAATCATACTTCTCTTGATAAATAACGCAGTGGGACTATATCTGCTTACTTCTAACCTTAAAGCACTCCCCAGAATTTTATACTGCAAACAAAACAATCTTACTCCAAATCAATACTCCAAACAAAATTGGATAATTTCCAGAATAAATTTGTTCTGGATAATTTCCAGTTTCTGATAGTTGGACATACACCATAATGGTGATGCACAGCTCACTGAATTATATACAATTGAATTGAATAAGTTAAACTGTGTTTGGATATTTCTTAGATGTGTCTTAGCAAACAGTTTCATTACACCATTAATCATTCTATTAGTTTTAATCATCATCATCCTAGTATGTCTGTCAAAGGACAGTAAAGGTTTCAAGATAACCCCAGAAACTTTATTGAATTAAAACTGGTCAATGAAATTTTGTTAATGTAGAAAGACAATTCTCCTGGGGAGTTTAGCCCCATTTCTAAAGATCATTATATTTGATTTTTTTGGGTTAATCTTTATTCTTAATTGTTCGAAATATTTGGTTATTGCTTGAATTTTTCTATTAAGAGCTATTGCTGTGGGCGCAATAATAACTATGTCGTCTGCATAAGAATCAGAGTGAATCACAGTGTCGGCTATCATGAATCCGTCTTCTTTTTTATCAAAATAATTATTAATGTCAAAAGTAAAAAGTTGAACAAATGTGGAGACCACGGGTCTCCCTGTAACAACCCTCGATCTATCGTATAGGGATAACCTTGTTCATCATTGTGTCTAATAATTGCATCATAATGGCCAAATAATAAACCAGTTAATTTTATCATTGAATTAGCCACACAAAATTGAGACATTTTGTTTTCTAAGGCTCTTATACTGATTGAATCGCAGGCCTTATCTAGGTCCAAAAATAATGCATATACTTTATGTTTTTTCCTTTCGAGTTGAATCTGGATTATAGCCAGTAATATAAACAATGTTAGTTGAGTTCCACCTTTTCTAACAAAGGCAAATTGAGTAGGATTCCTCAAATTCTCATTGTCTTAGCCATTCATTAAATCTTCTAGCAAACATCAAAGTAAAGAGCTTACGGAACATCGATAATAACGCAATCGGGCGGTAGTTTTCTGGATTCAATTTATCTCCTTTTTTGAATATCATTAGAAATATTACCCGATTCCATGTAATCGGAATAACTCCTTTATTATAGAATCTATTATATAAGCTGACAATATATTCTAGAATCAGAAATGTTAAATTTTTAATCACTTTATTAGGGAGTCCATCACTTCCTGGTGCAGATTTGATTTTAAGCTTCTTAATATAAAACTGTAACTCTTGAACACTAAAGATCTCTTCCATAGGTAATTCAACCTCTTTTGGTTCTTCCATTTTTGTGCTATCCATCTTAACCCTACACTTAATTGAAAAACTATCAAAGTAACTATGCCATTTCGCAAATGGCACAATGACAGGTCTCTCTGTCTGTACAACAGAACAACGGAATTTATTGATCATTTTCCAGAATTTTTTGGAGTCTTTAGTTCTTATCAGATTATTATTTAATTCAGCAAAATATCTTCTCTTTTTAGCATTGATTAAATTATTGTAGATTCTTTTATATTCCACATGCTTCTTCCAGTCCACTTTGTTTTCCTGAATTGAGCCAAACTGCTTTGTTTCTTTTTCTTATGATAAAAGCATTTATTATCATACCAACATTGTTTATAAGTCCGTGGGAAATTCCCCGGCCAGTAGTTAACTCGACACATCTCTAAAAGCCTAATAAGGTTTTCATAATTATCTATCAGATTTGAATCTACTCCTTGACATAACATCTCATTAACCTTACCTGATATCTCTTCTAATAGACACTGTATGTTAAATCTTTTAGTTTTCCTTTTGTCAGATCTGAATTGTTTTTGTGAAGCCAAACTTGAAGTGAATGTATTAAGACTATAACCTAATAGAGATAATTGAATTGGGAAATGGTCAGATTGATCCTTATCAACTACCTTCATTTTGTTACAGTAATGTATCATATCTTCATTACATATTACATAATCAATGACTGATTTACCTATATGACTCACAAATGTAAATTCAGCAGGTATGTCTCCTATCATTCTACCATTCAGTATAATCCAGCTATTTTCCTGAACAAACCTCAATAGTAATTCTCCAGTAGTATTGTTCATCTTATCCTTAGAACTTCTTATATTAGCAATATCTAATCTATCACCTTCATAGATTACATCCATCTTTTCTCCAATACGACCATTAAAGTCTCCTCCCATTATCCATAAGTCTATAAAATTATTCCACTGGTTAATCATCTTCTGAACTTCTTCAAAGTATTTACTAACGTTTGAAGCTGGGTTAATATATATTAATATAACTCCCAAAGTTGTGGCTCCCCACATTTTTTGAAGTTCAGAATTTAGTTCTATCCAGACAAAAATGACCCAAGACTCCATCTGAGCTTGAACCACATGTCCCAAAGATCTCTTAATTAATACTAATAATCCAACTGCCGGTCTACCAAACTTCTGGGTCTTATGTGCAGCACTATGTAACATCCAACATTCATCCTCTAGATTCAAATTGTCTAATTTATTTATATTTGTCATTCATGTTTCAGTGATACCTACAATATCATGGAACAACAAGTATTGCTTTATAGAATGATCATACATTTTTTTGACCAGGCCTTGAATATTTCAGAAACTTATATGTACATTTATAAATTTATTCTTTGATCCAGGTTTGAAAGAAGAATGGACTATCAAATCATGCATATCATTATAAACGGCTACAAAATCATTATCTGTAGTATTATCCTTTTTTCCTTGTTATTTTCCATCACTTTGGAATGAATATAATTATCTGCATAGTGCCCTTTTATAAAAAACAATCAACTTGGATTATTTTTTCCAATTCTAAATCATATGTATACATTAATCCTTCTTTTATATAATACAGTAATACCTCGACTTACGCTACCCCGACTTATGCGAACCTAGAGTTACGCGATTTTCAAATCTCGTCGATTCTTCTTTTGTTTGAGTGCCACGCAACTTTTGATTACTCATTTGCCCCGCACTTTTGTTCAGCTTACATATTCAGACGTGTCATGCAGAATCGACACGTAGCTATAATTTATTTTGTGTTATTTATTTCTGTATTTGTTATATGTACAGAGACTAGAGACTCTACATGGTGATTTCTTGTAACAATGAACGAATCAAAAGACGAGATAAGGTTAACGAGAACACTTATTAGCTTGTACATCCGACTTGGATTTTACACAAATTGAGAAATTATACCCCAACTTATGCAAATTTGACTTACGCGGTTATCACTCGGTCCCACCTATCGCATAAGTTCAGGGTATTACTGTAATCATCTCTTACAATGACCCTATATACTTTTGATTTTTCATGGTCTACTTTAGCCATTAGCTTTTGCCTTCTAACTTTAGAACGTTTATATAAATCAGCTATGAGTATTATGTTTTCCTTATATTTTATCAATAATTTCGGCTTAACTTTCCAGAATTCTCGCAGAATAGAATTCCTATCGTAGACAGAGTTAAGAGTAATTTTAACTATTGATTTATTGCCATTTTTAGATATTTTAACTAAACTAACCAGTTCACAATTCTCTAGGCCTAGATCAATCCCAATGAAATGGGAGATCTCTTTAGAGAGATCCTCTGTCTCAAACGGATAATTAAAAATTATAATATTATTTCTTGTTTATTAACTTGTCTATTTGAAATTCCAACATACCTTTCCATGACGTGCCTTTACTGACATCCTTGTCCAGAATCTCTATTCTGCGAGTTACACTATTTAATTCCTCCTTTAGAACAATGTGTTCTTTCTTCAATGTGATCAGTTCCTCCTTAATTGAACGCAAGTCTGAGTTCAGTATTGTAAACATTTCCTGAATCAAATCATAAACTGCTTTAATAGTATACGGCGTCTCTTCAGTAATAAGTTCTTCCACTACTGATGATGATGTAAAATAATCCTGGATATTAGAATCTCTTATTACACCCAATTTTCCCTTCAAGGAAGATTCTCCTGTTTGGCATTGTTCATCTTCTATAAATTCTGACAGTTCACCTTTTTCTATATTTCAAGTATTACCTTTACGGAGTCTACCGCGTCCCTGTTTTTGCATATCTTCGTACTCTATTTCTGGAGGGGATCTCAGCAAAGGTACCTGGATTAGGCTCTATTCCTGCTATTATTAATATACATATAATCAATTTCAAACACGATTGATTCATTACAACCTGAACCTTCAAATTACTCATTATTTGCATCTAAATTCCACCAGAACACTCCAATGATACTTTGAAAGTCAAATACAAGTGTCACCAGCAGCATCAACAATCACAGCGACTCCTGATAAAATTTTAAAAATCATATTTTTGTGTAATAAGTTAAACTGTAATTCTTACAGATATATAAACTAGAAAGACATATCATATTATAACATAATATATATTTTAAAATTACAATAAAACCTTAATTTAACAGATAAAATTTCTGTCTATTTGTCATATGTAATTAAATTAACATGTTTTTTTTCTTCAAATTCAAGAGTCACCACTCTTAACTTATGCCACAAATGGAAATGTCTTGATATAATGTCATTCAAAGACAAATAAATAGAATTTTTTTTTTTAAAGAGCATTTATTTATTTCAATTTAGATCATATACTTATTTATTACACTCTTGGAACTATGATGAGTATATAAGCAATAATACATATAGAAAAATTTTCTCTGAAATTAAACTTCTCATGCAAACTTACTTTAAATTCACAAATGTATCTACATAAGTAAAAACAGATAAACTAACTAATTTGTTAATTTTTTTTATGCATTTGGAAAACCTACTTTTATTATATAACAGATTTTCTGCTTTAACGGACACTCCCTTGCCTGAATTAGTCTGTTAAATTGAGGTTTTACTGTATTTACATTTTTCAATAATTTTCTAGTAATACAGATTATTTTAAATTTAGGTCGTAACAAATTAATAGAAGATAAAGTTCATGAAAGAGTGGATCTTCTTAATCGATATTTAGATCATAAAGAGCATCTTGAGCTTCAAGCTGTGTATGCTTTACAAGCTCTAATGAATCAATTATCTCATCCTAAAGGTTAGTTGTTATCTGATAAAAATGAATTTATTTCTAGGTTATTAAAGCAAGTGTAAAAGTGCTTAAACAATATTTTTGCAGTAGTTTTAAAGTGTTAATTGATAGTATTCAAGTTTTAAATTAATTCTAATCACCTGACAAAACATTCCAAAATAAAAATCTGCATTCAATGAATATATTATTAAATAATGCACATTTTCATCCTCACATGCATATAAACATTAAAATAACAAAAAATTTCAGAAAAATATTTGATAACAGTATCAGATATATTGAAACTATTTTTACTATCATGTGAAATTCAAGTTTTATAATTATATACAGGCCTCAGAGTCACTCACTTTTCTTACCTTTCAGGTCATTTTTTTCCCTTTTCTCACTTTTTTGGTCATTTCCACGTGCTCAATTAATGTGGGACCAATCAAAAATAATTTTAAAGCCAAACGATTTGCCAAATTATTAGACTATGTGACTAGAATTTTCTGGAAAAATACTCGGCCCTGAGCAGGACTCAAACCACAACTTCCGCTTGGTGTTGTTAGTTTATAGGAAACAAAAATTCTTTTCAAGTATGTAGAAAATCTTTCTTGCACTTAAAAAATTCCTCTCATTACAAATTCAGAAACCATTATTGAGTAAAGTTATGTACTCATGCCATATTGTCATTATTAACAATAATCTAGTTCTTCAGAGTTGCATTTCTATCAACGGGGATTAAAAATAAATATTTTAAGCATCCCTACATTTTTAGCTGTTTTCTAAGAAAATCTCTTGGTAGGGGAAAACATGTCTTGCCTAGGGATTAATATCTCAAGCTGACAACACTGCTGTCACTTATAAATTTAAAATATATTATAATTATTAAAATTAACATGTTACCTCCTATTTCTAGACAAATTATTTCATTTCTGACCATTTAATTATTCTTGTTATAGCCCAATAATTTGACAGATCATTTGGTTTTAATTAAAAATTGGGTTATGGAGGTGTCGTTTACAAGAATATTTTTTACTTTATTTATCTTTAAATAATTTCATAAACTTGAGTTTAATAGAATAAAGTTATTTTAATGATTTCATAGCATATTGTTAACATTTAATCACATCTATATATTCCTAAATGTACGTGTAAATTGACTACAAGTATAATTATTTAGTGGAGTAAGTATTATTTTCATAAAATGTGTGATTACTTTATATGTGAAATATCCATTTTTTAATCTCTTCTCTTGTGCTCTTGTGCCGATTATAAGTGTGCATTAACTGACAAAGGGATCTTATGGTTTCGGAAATTCAGTTCAGAATGAGACTTTGCAGATTAGTAGTATACCTCAAGGGTATCCATCCAGAAGAATTGTAAATTGCACTAGCCAGAAGATTCTGAGAAAAAAGGCTCTAAAGTTTTAAGCGCAGCTCATATACTGATCGATTTTACACTATGGCAGTATAGCAAAATGGCCGAGTCTGTAGCGAACTCGCTTTCCACGCGGGCAATCTAGGTTCGATCCTACCTTTGGCTAACTTTTTTGTTTTAATTGTTTTAAAAATTGTAACAACTTTTAAATAAAGTTAATGACCTAAAAATATTATCAATTAAATCATAAATAACTGTCAACTTTCACACCTTGGAGCTAATCATTGGTGAGTTTTCACAAGTCAGCAACAAAAGTGACACTTTCAAATAACTTTCCTACCTATAGTCTTAAGTTCATTGGTTGAAAATAACAAGGAATTGAAAAATTCTTCAAATTTAAAACGAATATTTTTAACCTCTCCATAGCTTATAATATCTTAAAATTTTAAAAATAAAATCTTAAAAGTAAAATATTATCTTTAAAAAGTTGAATAATTTCAAATGCATTTCTAATGGAGGTAAATTAAAACTTTAATTACTACTGTCATTAAAAAGTTATTACAAATTTTAAGATATTATAAGCTGTGGAGAGGTTAAAAATATTCGTTTTAAATTTGAAGAATTTTTCAATTCCTTGTTATTTTCAACCAATGAACTTAAGACTATAGGTAGGAAAGTTATTTGAAAGTGTCACTTTTGTTGCTGACTTGTGAAAACTCACCAATGATTAGCTCCAAGGTGTGAAAGTTGACAGTTATTTATGATTTAATTGATAATATTTTTAGGTCATTAACTTTATTTAAAAGTTGTTACAATTTTTAAAACAATTAAAACAAAAAAGTTAGCCAAAGGTAGGATCGAACCTAGATTGCCCGCGTGGAAAGCGAGTTCGCTACAGACTCGGCCATTTTGCTATACTGCCATAGTGTAAAATCGATCAGTATATGAGCTGTGCTCATATACTGATCGATTTTACACTATGACTTTAGAGCCTTTAAAAACTTTAGAGCCTTTTTTTCTCAGAATCTTCTGGCTAGTGCACTTTACAATTCTTCTGGGTGGATACCCTTGAGGTATACTACTAACCTGCAAAGTCTCATTCTGAACTGAATTTCTGAGACCATAAGGTCCCCTTGTGAGACTGAAAAAGTAAACGACAATGTAAATTCATATTTACACATCGAATCTTTTAATTTATGTGTTAAATTTTAAGTGTTGTAAAAAATAAAACACATGATTGCTGGTGGAAAAAATTTTCACATGCTTCCCAAAAGGTTAACAACGTTGTAACAATGTTTTATTTATCTGCATGAAAAAGTTCTTTGTTATTTATGAAACCATTAATAAAACATTATTTTACTTATACTATTTGAAATCTGTTTATTTTGAAATTAATATTTACACATCTCAAAGCATTAAAAAAAATAAACAGTTTCTGATCATGATAGATGTCCCAGTGTAGCCAAATTAGTGAAATCAGCATTGACCTTCCTTCATGGCAATGCTGATGTGGAACAGGTATTTTCAATTTCATGCCGCACACTTCCTCCTGATAGAGCATCAATGTCGCAAAGAGTGCTTATTAAACCAGAAATAAAGTAGAAGAAAGTGAAATACGTGTGACAGGCCAAGTTTTATTTATTCGTTGAAACCATGTCTTCTTCTTCTTGTTTTGTTTATTGACACTTGGCAAATAATTTCATCATCAACTTTTAATCCATATAGATACGCATTTCGGGCTTTTGCCCTTCTTCAGTCTGTTACATAGATAAGTTGTATCTTATGTACATCTGTCAGGCACCTTTCGCACTACGTCTTCCCTCTCCCCTTCCCTTCTCCTCCTCTTCCCTTCCCTGCTGACTTGACGGCCAGCCCCGCATGCCTTGCAGCATGCAATATGTCTCACTCCCAGAGTGCCGCACACAGCATCGCCTGCGACTGTATAAACATTCTATTTTAATAGTTGTAACCAATTTTTATGAATTTCAATGCTTAGATTCTTGTTAATAATATTTTTGTTTGCAGTAATTTCATAGCTTTCCTTAAATTTTTTTTGTACCAATTTTTTCCCTGTGTACTATTATAGCGTCATTCTTATCTATTTTGCAGTTATGAGTTGTGCAATGTTCGTAAAAAACAGAGTTGATTCTATTATATTTCAAATCTGTGATGTGTTCTTTTAATCTTGTTTCTAATTTCCATTTTGTTTCTCCAATGTATGCTTTTGGTGGTTTGCATGTGCAAGGTATTTTATAAATGAGTGCAGAAGGTGCCTGACAGATGTACACAAGATACAACTTATCTATGTAACAGACTGAAGAGGGGCAAAAGCCCGAAATGCGTATCTATATGGATTAAAAGTTGATGATGAAATTATTTGCCAAGTGTCAATAAATTCACCAAGTCATGATATTTGAACCAAACAAAACAGGCCAAGTTTTGTTAAAAGCAGCAAACAAAAAAACCTGGAGAAGGCCATTAACAGCAAGAACATGAATGAAGTAGGGCAACACATGTAATGCTTGTTAGTGTTAAAAGTGTTCAAAAGCAAGAGGAACCAAAAAAGAAGGAAGCTGAAAACATCCAGAATAATCAGAATGAAAGAACATCATTTTTCATTACTGATTATTTACAGATGCCAAAGACTTTTTAAGTATTTATGGTTTACTGGAAATACAGTAGCTTCTTGTTATATCACGCTTATCGGGAGACAAAGAAACAGCATGATATAACCGAGTACTAAAAATTCTGGGCTTATACTAAACAGATTATACATGTTATGCAATCTCTATCCTCCATTCTTTCATCAGCAAGTGTTTTTGATATAAAATAAGCTTAGTTTTTCAATACTGAACTTTATTCTTGGTTATATCATATTAATTGATGTTTATGTAAACATCGATACCACCAACGCCCATTTAGCATTGTTTCTTTAACAATGACATTTAAAGACAAATACTGTAGATATGAAAACAAAATATCAGTTATGATTTTATTATACAGTACAGTATTAAACAGTATTTAATAAGCGATTTATTTTCAAAATAAATCTCTTATTAAAAATTCATGTAATTTATGTTTTTCAGTAAAAATTATAAAGGCTGTAATTGAAAATTTTAAAAAATAAATATGGAACATATAATAGAACCATAAAAACTTATAAAATTACAGAGAGTAAAAATTCTCTAAAATGCAAAGTTACTACTGTATAAAAACTTTCCATTCAGAAGTAAAGAAATCTTTTCCTTACACAATATGTGAATTTGAAATTTCACACCTGTGAATTGACCATATTGCGTCAATTCACATAAAGGTGTGAAGTTTCGAATTCACAGAAACTTGTAAATGAGGAGTGGTAATTTCAAGGACAATAGTAGAAATATGAATACTGTATTTTGTTGCAAATAGAAATTCAATGGCAAATTGGTATTTTAAAATTTGGAGGACCAAGAGAACCTGATATATCCGAATTCGTGATATAATGAGTGGTTACTGTATTACAGTATACAGAAATTTTTAAAATGTATTTAACCATAACAGAATAAAATGAGAAAAAACAACTTTTACTGCTTGCTATTTTGCTGAGTTTTCCTTCTATTTTTTCTGTTTGTTTTGTCACTATTACACTCACTTTTTACTTACTGTTTCTGTATTTCAACTCACTTTTCTCACTTTTTTGGAGGGAAAATAGCACTTCCATGCCTGTATATATTATTTTCATTTGTGGAATTGTCTTATTTCATTCATTTTAACCTGCACAAGTAAATATTGCTATCCTAACAATATTTACTTGTGCAAACAGAAAAAATAATCATAATAATAACAATAACTGGTATTAATATATTTAAAAAGATTTATTTTGTCATATATTCATTAATTTTTCAATGACTAATCATAGACAATAAATGTTTTTAGTGATTTAGTATTGATGAAAGATAAAAATCTGTTAAATAACCAACTTTCTTTTACCCAGTTTATTGATACACAATTTTCAAGACAAAAATGATCATTAGAATACATTTTATATACTGTGTTTACTCGCATATAAGATGAGGTTTTTATTCATTTATCACAGCTTCAAATTCCTAGGTCGTCCTATACATGCGAGCAAAAGATTATTTGCATTTTTGCAAATAAATTTTGTGATGCTTACTCTTTTGTATATTGTCAGAAGTAAAGATGAATAGCAATAAGAAAAGCAAAGCTTTTGAATTGAATTTCAAATTGAAATTCCAAAATCACAAGGGAGCATGATATAAGTTTTAATCCATTCCTACATGAAAACAGATGATTATTCAGAAATCAGAATTTGGAGAAACTCGTAAGTGTAATCGACAGAAAGTGGATTCGACTGTTAAGAATCAGCAAATAAAGATTTCAGATTGTCCAGCTTTGCATGAACAAGTTATGTTGTCAATTTTACAAGATTTTTTCTTAAAGTTTAAAATGCCAGTAATTTTTGAGGAACAATGTGTGCATTTACGTTCATTTGATATTTTACTTGTGATTAAATGAAATAAAATTAGAATTGTATTAATAAATCTAATTTTCTTTATTTTGATCTATAAAGTCACACCTTATCCATATGCGAGTAAATACAGTATATATATATATATATATGTATATACAGGGTGGTTTTTTTTTAAACTGACAGTACTCAGAGACATTTATAGAGCAATCTAACAGCCAGACTGTTGCTCTACAAATTTGGAATAGTGACTAAGGATGACATGGGAAAGAGATTTCGCGAAGAAAAAAAGTAGTACCTGAATTCGCTGGTAGGGGTGGATTTGGCACTGTTGTAGCAAAACAGCTAAGAATTTGCATAAAACCTAGCTGCAATTAACAAACACACGAATGAATAATCAGACAGAGGTTTCAGTGCAATAATGAAAGTTTAATTAATCAGAAAATAACCTTCTCCCTTCTTCAATGTGACCACCATCCTGCTGGACAACACATTGCATCCTGAACACTGTGTTCTCTATGGTTGAACGTAACATGTCCGCAGGAATGTTCATCACAGTTTGAGAAATGTTGTCCTTCAAGATCATCAAGTTGGGGACACCACCAAGGTAGATCTTGGACTTTAAGTAACCCCACAGGAAAAAGTCACATGGGGTTAGATCCGGGGGGAAAAAGCAACTGATGACTCTTTCTTCAGTGAAGTGCTGGTGTAACACATTCCTCGCCGTGAGACCAATGTGTGGTGGTACTCCATCCTGCATAAAGATTGTCTGATCCAGGCATTGTCTTTGCTGAAATTATGGAATGACAAAACTAGTCAGCATATTGCGAAACCTTTCCTTAGTAACAGTACAGGTCTGTGGTTCTGTTCGAGTGATGTTCTCAAAAAAGAATGGTTTGATGATGAAATCTGCTGTAAAGCCACACCAAACAGTGAGTTTCAGTGAATGCAATGGGATTTGCACAACCTCCTGGGGGTGTTCTGATGCCCAAATGCGACAATTTTGAGTGTTGACATCCCCATTTAGGTAAAAATGAGCCTCATCTCCCCAGAGAATTGTCCAAGGGCCAAGCATTGTCCACCTCCATCCTGGCAAGAAATGTCAGAGCAAATGTCAACCATGTAGCATGGTCATTTAATTCTTTTATTTCTTCGTCATTCATTTTAATTCTTGCAGGCAGCTTATCTTGTATAGATAGAACTTGAGAACTTTTCACAGAACTTGCCATACCGTCGAAGGCATCATTTCTAATTGTTGTACCACTCCCCGGGCACTGCTACTACCAGCAATGGTCCCCTGTGAATCTTCAATGAGTGCAGTCGCAACATCACTAACTGTCTGTACAGACACTGGTTTCCGCCCTCTACCAGGCTGAACTGCTAAGAATCCTGTCTCTTCAAATTTCTTTATGAAGTCTTTGAATGTATTAATTGGTAGAGGACCTCTGCGCAGATTGTTACGGATTCTAAACTCACAGCAACGCACACTGAGGTAATGAAAGATGCAGGTTGAACTCTGCTGACATCCGGAATGCACTTTGGACTTTTGTTCTTGTCTTTTAAGCTCAAATTAGGTGGCGCTGCTGTCGGCCACGTCATTGTGAATTTGGATTTTGAGGTGTTACCAGCACGTTATGCAAATTCTTAGCTGTTCCTACCGGCGAATTTGGATACTACTATTTTTTTTTTTTTTTGCGGAATCTTTTTTCCATGTTGTCCTTAGTCACTCTCCCAAATTTCAAAAGTCCGTCTGTTAGATTGCTCTACAGATGTCTCTGAATACCATCAGTTTTAAAAAAAAACACCCTGTATATATTTTTTGTTGCTAGGAATTACTAAAATTTTGTTGTAAAGTTTGTTATATTTATTTTATTGAAAACTAATGCATACAGTGATAATATTGTTAATATTTTTCTAATTATTTCAGGAAAATCATTTGAAAAGTCAAAATGTCAAAATTAGGAAAAAAATTATTTATATTTAAACGTAATTTAAAATTTTGCATAAAATAATGCAATACTCAGATTCTTCTATATCTTTCATGTAAAACAAAATAGATTTACTATGGTAAATGTTGATTTCATTTTTTTCCTTAAAAGATGGATAAGAGGGAAAAACAAAATCAACATTTTTAGATTTTCAGTTTTTTGTTTTTAAAGTTTGTTTTTAAACTAAAACCAACAAATAGTACCAAATCCACTCCATTGTATATTTTATTTTGTTTGATTATAAAAAATCACAAATATATTTACTTTTACTTCTTATAAAATTAGATAAATAGATTTAAGTGGAAATTGGATAGTAGCTAAGAAGCTTTATTAACAACGTTATTACCTGTATGTATTAGTTTTGAATAAAACAAATATACCAAATTTTACAACAAAATTTTAACAATTCTTTTTAGCAAGAAAAAATATGCTCCAAAAAAAAAAAAAAAAAAAAAAAACCAGAATTCTAATAATCACTTTTGTTCTGAAATTGTTTTCTCAGTTTTCAGAAATCTTTGAATAGTTGACTACTATTTAAGAGCAGTTATTGTTCATGCTGTGAGGACAAGGTACAGTTCATACAGTATTTGAAGGTGGTTACTATTTACATAAAATGTTTTTATTCATATCATAATGTATTGGATAACTAAGGAAAATTTCTTGTGTTACTTTTGCATGTGATTTAACTGCAAATTTTTTCATTTAGGGTCATTTTTATTGATTTTCAGATTTTATTTTATTTTATTTTTTAACTACATTGCATTTGGCAAATGAAATCAGCCATTTTTTTTATAGTATAGTACAGGATAATATAAAGATTTTTAAAAACTTTTGAAATTGTCATCTTGTTCTAAATCAGTGAAATTACTTTCTGAAAACTTTATTATTATTTTTTTTTCATTTTAAAGACTTGCCAAAAATTTTTTTAATATACATCATCTTGTGTGTCTCAGTTTTTTATTTTGTGATTTGTGGCAAAGAAACAGTAATATTTTGAAAAGTTCAAAAATTACATTTTCCTACGTAACCTCAAAACTCAAAAAAATTCAGCCAATTTTCATCCCATTATTTTGCTGGGCCAATTTTCAATGCTTAACCTACTATGCCCTTTGAAGAATCAATTTATTTCTGTTATATTTGGGAAAATATTTTTATGAAAAAGCAGTTGATATGTATAATTACATGGAAATGACAAAAATAATTTTTTTCTTTAACTTTTTTAGATGTTTTAAGGATTATGTTTGATCTGCTGTATGATGAAGAACTAATATCAGAAGATGCTTTCACACAGTGGGAACAGAGTACTGATCCAGCTGAACAAGAAGGCAAAGGCGTAGCATTAAAATCTGTATCTTCTTTCTTTTCTTGGTTAAAACAAGCAGATGGAGAAGATTTTTCAGAAGAGAACTGACTGATTAGGAAAATTAGAAATAAGAAAACTGCAGTGCACACAGCAAAGAGGGAGAATGTGGATTTATTGTGTTTTAACAATTTTACTCATTTATCCTTGTTAAAAGTATTGCTCACAGAGATCACATTCTAGTACTTTGCAATGTGTAGTGCTATTATTCCTTTATTCCATTTTATCTGTTAGTTATTATAAACAGAAGAAATGGAAATTTTTTCACTTCAGACCAGATAGGTCATGTATACCTACAATTTTTTTGACAAAGGGGGGTTGTTATGTTATGGGTCAAGCCCCTAAATTTTTTTACCCAAAACTTGTATTGTTGCTATGATATTCTTTATATATATACATATACATAAGTAAATAAATAATTATATATATATATATATAAATATATCACCTTTATGTTCTTTCTGCAAGAACATTCCTGTTTGTCTTAGTATTCACTTTGAATGTATTTTGTCTCATGAAGGAGAGACCTTTGATGCTTCCTTGTCAGACATGCTTGTGTTTATAGATTCAAACAGATGTTCAGCAGGAAGTGCAATTTTGCGTGAGTAAAATTTAGAACATATTTATATTTCTTCTCTTCATGACCAGGAAGAAAGAAACAATGTTGGAAATGAATTTCTTGCCTGTGAGAATAAATATTCAAAGAAAAAATAAAACAGTTATATACATTCTGTTGTAAATTGAAAGTTAGGTAGTTATTTAATTCTGATGTGTAAATTATTGCAAGCATTGTCCAGTTTCCATATAAAAAAATGTTTATAAATTTACGCATCTAACTGGGCAGCAGTTATTATTATGCCTGAGACGGTCTGTTATGCAACTGTACTCTTTGTGACCACTTGGAGTTATATTCATTAAAAGGAGACTGAACTGCATTATTTTTAATACCTGCCATCTTCTCAGTTCTCCATCTAATCTTTAAAATGACTGTGGAAACCGACTTACCTGTCGGAGAGGGTCACAAGCGTGTAATAGATGTAAAATGTGTACTCCTCTTGTACATAAGGGAAAAATAAAACAAACAATAAGAAATATTCGAGGGTATGTAATGTGTGCAAGATTGCTTAATGCCAATACAATTTTTGTACACAATTTTTATTTATATATACATTTAAAAAAATGTACACACATTATAAAATATTAACCCAACTACAGTGTGATTTGTAAATTTAATCAGTTGAAGTAAAAAGTTTACATATTGAAATGTACATAATCTGCACAGTTGTACATGTTTTTTTTATGACACTTGATTAAGTGTTTTCATTCTCTTTTGTTTTCTTTTTTTTCTTTTGCTTGTTTTTATTTTATTACTTGTAAATTATTATGAATAGTTATTAAGAAAGCATCTCTATTTATAGTATATACAATTCCTGATGTTCAGTTTCATTATAGTGTTCATAGCAAGTTATTATCTTTGCTTTTAATTTCTTAATTAAAATTTCTATGAAAAAATTTATTTTTATAATTTGACACTGTTAATTTTGGCAAAAAAAACATGAATTTACTGCAAAGAGTGGCTAAACAAATTGAAATTCAAGGTAATGCAATATGAAATATTAAATGCATTCATGAATTTTTAAATAAAAAAAAAGTACATTCATATGCATATCTTATGCAGTGATTGAAAAAAATAAAAATAATAGTGATGAAAATAGAATACTGATTCTTAATCTTTTTTTAACCAAAAATAGAAGATGCAAGTTAATATGTTAAATTATTTTTAACTTATTAATATCATAAATCCATTTTAAGGAAATAAATACAATTAATGCATGTGCTGCAAATTTCTCTGTTCTGTTTAAGTCCATCTATTGCAGGTGTAAAGAAAAGTGATTGTTTAGATTAACTGTTTTAAGTTAAATTTAAACTTAGATTCGTTTTTCCAATTTAAATATGAATTATAATTTTATTTTTATGTTATTGCGTATAAAGCAAGTAAAAATCTGTCTTTGTTTTTATATATGGAACTTGGATTAACATTGATATTGAAAATATATTAAGCAATTAGGAAATAATACTCGTACATGCATAAAATCATATTTTTATGGATGATTTTTAACAATAATGCAAGTATGCATATAGGGGAAAGTTTACAATAACTAACAAAACCGCGTTGCTAACTAAAGTAACGGGAATTTTTTAATAGTAATATTGAAGCAATAGTTTTCGGGTTAATTTTCTATTAAATTTTAATAGAAATAATTGAAAGATACAGATTTAAGTGAACTCTGCTAGTTAGTTACGAATTCACGTCTCCAGCGGGATGACCGACTTCTTTTTGGTTTCGTTTTTCCGGGTTTTCTTTACGTGTCTAACACCTAAATACGAGCCAGTTTTCCATAGAAAGTAATCTCGGGAGACAACATTTTGGCAGAGCGACCATGTGTTGCATTGTCTTATTTCATTAATCCAATCCTCTCATTTCCCAAACTGAAAATTTTCGAAAAAAATCTCTTCAAAACACCATTAAAATAAAGTTGCAGAGAAGCAACATACACATTCTGAATCTCGTAGAGAAGAGGACTCCGCCTTCAGAAAAAGTTACTGCTATGGAGAGAAATAATGATAATAGCAAACGCTTTCTACTTTGTTACAGCAGCTTGTTATATCAATTGAAGTTAATTTGACCTACGAACTTATATCTGTTTTTGAAGAGCGTTAACACAATGACTGGTTTCGAAAATAGTTTGGAAGAATAATTTGAATAGATTCAACGCTGAGATCGCATCTGAATTTAACTCTGCAGAAAAGAAATCTTATTGAGTTGTTTTGAGGTAAGACTTGAAAAAAAAACGAAATTCGGCAGCATAATACAGAGTTTTGAATATCAGTAAATGATGGATATCCGCTGCTGGGGCAAAGCTTAATTAACGAATTTCTCTTGCGACGCCATATCTGCAAAGCAGGATTTTTGGCCATCGACAATATTGTGCGAAAATCGATGCAGAAGAAGAAATGAGAGTGGCAGTGTCAAATTTGATTTCAAGATTTATAAAGTTGTAGTCTCCAACAGTCAGTTACTTACTTATTAATGTGGTTTAAAATGAAATAAAAATATTTTGTTCGTTTATGTGTATGATTCTTTCAAATGGCTACTAAGTTTGAATGCAACTACAGTACTAAATAAAGTGAACTGCAACCGTTAATTTTAGGAACTATGCAAGTGCTTGCCATTTGTATACATTCTTAAAATCAACATTTAGCCAAGTCATAGCACTTTTGTAGGAAGTCTCGAGTCTCATGCGGTGGATGTGATTTGGCACATGTATCTAAATACATCTCTTTTCGTACCAACTTGAACCTTATCGTAGTGTCGAAACATTGCATTTAGGAACTCATCAAAAGTGATCAAGAATGCCGTGAATTGAGGATTTTTAGGATTTATTTTATATTCTCGAAGAATATTGTTTCAAACTAAAAATTATTTATTTTCTCTGCCTTGTGAGCACTAAAATTGAGACCTTTTTCCAGGCACATGTAGGTTCGGCAGACCCATAATGAAGCGACTAGGTGGCGAAGGATTGGGCCTGACATATCCGGTGCCCACAGTGGCCAAAGCGGTTCTGTTCCCTGAACACTGGGAGTTCACGTGGTCAGCCCGTCCTGGTAAAGTGCGAACCCATGACCGGAGTTTTCCGGGTTTTCTCCACGTCTGTAATGCCTAAATAGGGGCCAATTACCCTTAAAAAAAACCCGGAAGGCATCCCCTAGGCAGTTCGCCAAAGTGTTGCGTTGCCATAACTTAATAAAACAGACATATCTGGGACAGACTTTTCCGAAAAATTCCTGGGGTTTTTCGAATGTCCGAGTCTCCCAGAGCAGTAGATGTCTTAAATTTCCTCGACCATCCGACTGGGTTTTGAAAAATAATAATAAATGATTTTTAAATGCTATTATACTTCTTTGTATCATGTCCTCAAATCCTACAATTTCAAATTTTATCTAGTTAAGGTAAGATAGCTACCTAGTTAATATAGAAGACTTAAATCTTTGAGGACATATCTGTCCGATGACGATGCATTTTAATGATTTAGGGAATGGTATCAACCCCATCATCCTCCTCCTCGTCGAAACTCGATAAACGTAACTAATTAGAATTTAATCACGATGTGTGTGAATGGACTCTTGGTGTATATGGTAGGGTGGTTCCACCACGCAAACCCACCCCTAATCTCGAAAAACAACTAATAAAAGTGTTTGAAAGAAAAGAAATAAATGAAAGAAAATAAATGAGAAAAAAATAAAAGCGTTTTTTAAAATAATTTTAAAAAACGCTTTTATTTATTTTCTTTCATTTCTAAAACGTGAACGGCGAACGTCGAGCACAGCTTACAAGATAGCGGCGCTCTACGTTCGACGTTATTGTTATTGGGGAACGTCACTACAGTGCATATACATACACACGAACACACACAAACTCAGGAGCGCCCATATATTGAGGGTACTTGGGGAACGTGCCTCCTAATCGTCTTTGTTGCCCTGTTCTTAATCCCCAAGGAAGCGGTCCCAAATTCAATTATCAACAAACGACAGAAAAGTCATTATTTCTAGACTATTCTGCAAATATAAAAGAAGCTAATGGACGATATTTGTCCTCCCTTTGCAACTAACCACCGAACACTGGTGATTTGCCCATATGTTGCACACGTGAGGTATTTGCCAATGGAAGAAATGCTTTCCGTGAAGTATTTTATGGGAAACTTGCCCCTATTTGGGTGCTACAAAAGTGAAGAAAACAAGGAAAACTCCACATGGTCATCCTGTTGATGAGACACGAACCCACGACAACTACCAATATTCACTGTTTTTTGAATGTTCAATTTTTTGTTCTGTCATCGTTTTATTAAAGACGAAGAGTTGCATTTTATATCTTAGTTTATAAATTAGATAATTTAATTTTATATTTCGATTTTAGATTTTTAGAAATAAATATTGAATACTAAAATNTTATTTCATTTCTGACCATTTAATTATTCTTGTTATAGCCCAATAATTTGACAGATCATTTGGTTTTAATTAAAAATTGGGTTATGGAGGTGTCGTTTACAAGAATATTTTTTACTTTATTTATCTTTAAATAATTTCATAAACTTGAGTTTAATAGAATAAAGTTATTTTAATGATTTCATAGCATATTGTTAACATTTAATCACATCTATATATTCCTAAATGTACGTGTAAATTGACTACAAGTATAATTATTTAGTGGAGTAAGTATTATTTTCATAAAATGTGTGATTACTTTATATGTGAAATATCCATTTTTTAATCTCTTCTCTTGTGCTCTTGTGCCGATTATAAGTGTGCATTAACTGACAAAGGGATCTTATGGTTTCGGAAATTCAGTTCAGAATGAGACTTTGCAGATTAGTAGTATACCTCAAGGGTATCCATCCAGAAGAATTGTAAATTGCACTAGCCAGAAGATTCTGAGAAAAAAGGCTCTAAAGTTTTAAGCGCAGCTCATATACTGATCGATTTTACACTATGGCAGTATAGCAAAATGGCCGAGTCTGTAGCGAACTCGCTTTCCACGCGGGCAATCTAGGTTCGATCCTACCTTTGGCTAACTTTTTTGTTTTAATTGTTTTAAAAATTGTAACAACTTTTAAATAAAGTTAATGACCTAAAAATATTATCAATTAAATCATAAATAACTGTCAACTTTCACACCTTGGAGCTAATCATTGGTGAGTTTTCACAAATCAGCAACAAAAGTGACACTTTCAAATAACTTTCCTACCTATAGTCTTAAGTTCATTGGTTGAAAATAACAAGGAATTGAAAAATTCTTCAAATTTAAAACGAATATTTTTAACCTCTCCACAGCTTATAATATCTTAAAATTTGTAATAACTTTTTAATGACAGTAGTAATTAAAGTTTTAATTTACCTCCATTAGAAATGCATTTGAAATTATTCAACTTTTTAAAGATAATATTTTACTTTTAAGATTTTATTTTTAAAATTTTAAGATATTATAAGCTATGGAGAGGTTAAAAATATTCGTTTTAAATT